TCTGGCCTATTCACCCTAAAGGGGAGGCTCGGTAATAACTTGGGGTGCATCTCACACGATAGTCCTGCACCATGACCGTGGAATATATTTATTTTATGAAGAAAACATAATCTAGAAATGCATACAAAAGCAAGTCTAGCCAGCTCAAGCTAGCTCTATTCCACAGCATAGGGAATTTTATTTTTATTTTTAGAGTCAAGAAGGATATTGTGTAATATAAGATTTCAGAGACTAAATGTTAGTCTACTCACACGATTGCAAGCTGGACCTGGTCACTATACAAGGCAGACCTCACACATAACCAGTACATCCGAAATGTCCTGGAAGCAGTTGTGGTCCCCCATTTGGACAACCAACTCGCTACAAGACATCAGTTCATGAATGATAACGCCAGATCCCATCGGAATTTACCTCTAGACTGCCTCTCAAAAGTCCCTGAGCCAAGTTATTTTCCCTTACGCCCAGCCCTTACTATCATGCTATATGTAGTCTTAAATAAATCTAGATTTTCCCCAGATTCCGAATCTACAATTTCACTGGGGCTCCTTTTCAATTTAAGTGTAGTTGTTTTCATCAAAATGTAATATTTTCAGAGACCTAGCGTTTGTCTAGCATACCTTCTGAACAACGCTGTGACGACTCTGCCTTGGACCGCCATGAGTCCAGATCTGAATCTTCTGGAGCACATTTGGAACATCCTTTAGCGTCGTATGCAGGCATTGGGGTCATCTGTACAGAATCTGAGTGAATTGGAAGCAGCTTTGAGTGGAATGGCTGCATGCATTTGCCCCTTCACTAGATCCCACGTCTCACTCATTTTCTCAATAATTTTATTCCAGCTCTTGTTTCATTGGTCATTGGAAAATGCCACGGGGTGTTTAATTTTTATTCCAGGTGTATAGTAGCACAAACAATTGTCGGACTACAGCCTAATTAACCTTGTTAATATTAATAACGTGTTTCCCCTGACCCGCCCGCCTTTGCATATGCCCCCCTCGTGTTGCTGAAAAATAATTAAGCTGATTAAAGGACTTTTTCAGCTCAAATTTTATTTTTGCACCAGATTCCAAATGTTTGCTCACGCCATGCCATTAATAGTTTGTCAGATGCGCAGGGAAACTAGTCGTGATCACCGCCTCTTAATTCGTGCTTTGAACCACAGGGGGTGGGACCAAAAGAGATCAAGTGAAACAAGATAACGTAATTACTTAAAACAAGTTTACTTTTTGTAAATCTTTAACTTAGCTACAAAAGTTAGAAGAAGAAAAAATAAAACCCAACTCCCACTAAGTCAGTTTTAAAAACAATAAAGAGAACCAGGAATATATTTTGACTGACCTATCTGGCCTATATGTACTAAATAAAAATTTAGTAGACATGGTCCACTATATTTCGTAATGTTACATCTAATAATAATCATGTACAATGCTGTGTCGGGTCGGGTTAGGACAAATACACATCATGTCTGATATTTTTAGAATAATCTTAAGTTAATACGTTTAGAAAGAATATATACGTAGCTCTCAATTTCACATTACATCTTTGCCTAGCTCCTAAAGATTACAGGGGAACTTGGTCTAGTCCTTACTCAATGAGAAAAACTATATCCTCTGTTTCTCCATACTCCATAAAATCGCGTTAAAGCGTTTTAAAACTTGCCAACTCTTTGCTCATAAGGTTGTGTGTCTGTTTATAGGTCTTACAATCGCATAAACGTAACGTTGTGTGCCATGGTCCCGCTGACGTCCATTTGCGCGTGCGCAGCAGAGCCGTAGTGTTATTTATAACGATACTTGACTGAAGTCTGTCGTACCTCCAAGAGGGGTGATCGCCATTTCATTGAAGCAAAACACAATTGCGATCATGTTAACAGTTTTATACTCTCTTATTATTTCCACGGAGTCAATGTGTAGGTTTATTGGCCAAATTAAACTATATTGCCAACTCTTATATTCTACTCATCGTATGAATACCACTTACCACAACACAAATGATATATTGTCCTCTCTGTATGAATCTGAATTGGTTTAAGTCTTTGATCACTTTTGTTGTAAACAGTAGGTTGATACATTTTACATACATGTTCATATTTAGATATTTAAATAAGTTTCATTAGTCCCATCTTTTGTTGTTTATTAACTCATTTGACCGAAAATCAAGTGAAATTATTTCGTTGCGCGTTCTCCGCCGCCTGTAGTTAATTTTTCCATTTTCGACGTTTCAGAATCCACAAGACCAGCTGAAACTGTCTCTTAAAACTGCGAAAATAATCAGATCAGATTTCAAACATGGCCGCCAAGGCTGACATATTGAAATTGTCATTTTTCGAATTTCTCAGACATTGCTGCACGTGCAGTAAGTAACAAGTGGAGCAAACGAAAGTATACATATACGGGTTTGTTGTTTAGGTAATTGAAAACCGGAAAGAACTGTTATTAGATCTGATTCTGTATATTAAACCATCACTCGTTCCTGCAGCCGTTTGTTAACAGTAATCTGTGCCTGTGTAATTTTGTGTAAAAATATGTTGGTTCAATGAAGACTGGCGTCAGAAATGAATTTACAACCACATGACCCCTACCATGTTTGAAATGTTGTAAATTTGTGCCGAAAAAATCAAATCAATTGATTATCAAGGTGTCTAAGATGCCCATCAGCTGTTGTTTATTATGCGAAATTGGTTTTTTTTCGCATTTTTAAAAGTTTTAAATCAAATTGTGTAAAAAAAACAACAATAACACCATGTAAAAGTATATGCTGACTAAGCACAGTACAGTTAATGTTTTGGAAAATACAACAGAGGATAAAATCAACTGAGAGGTATATTTCTTTTTGCTCCTCTGTGTATTTCCTATGCCTAGTACCACATTCTATAGTTTGCTGGGCCAGGGATAGTCTTGATGATCATACTTTGGCAAGTTTGCATGTATGATTTGATAATTTAGGTCTAAAATGATATTCCAGCAAAACTCAGTTGAGCTACAGAGCCATGTGACTCGATTTTTCATTCTTACATTTATCCGTCTCCCAAACATCTTTTCACATTTCTTCAGCCTGTTTACCAATCCAATAAATCTGCGTGTACAAAATCAGAGCTTAGGGCCCGTTGGGAATACTGAGTGTCCCCGCGGAGATACGGTGGGATTATTGCTGACAAGCTCAGTAAACCATGCAGCGTTTCATAAATGCATGCATGCATTCTTTCCTACGCCCACCCACCCATCCATTCATCCATTCATTTATCCATCCATCTGACCAAAGTGGTAAACGTCTGAGACCTGCTTCACTTCTGGATTTCCTCCACCATTAAGCTGACACGCCGTGATATAATGGAATACTGTTCAAAGCGGCGTTAAACCCAACTTACTCACTCATTCCATCCTTCTGGTGATATCGCTAAAATTGCTAACTGAAATATATGAACAGGTAAATAATCCATTATATGTCATTTCAAATATTCTTACATTCTTACTTCCATTTGCCTTTAAAGCATACGGGACCTCAATGAATAGTCAGTATACGTGTGCGTATATTTCGCCAAGGTGTTTCGTATCTCACTCAATTCCTAATGCGTAACAAATGTGTTTGAAGCAACAATAAGCCCTTCTCGTGTAGACTGGTACCTGGTTCTACTTGCGCTGTGAAACCTTTGCGGAGGAAAGAGATACGATCAGATTTTCCGTTATTCGAGAGAACAAAACCATATCGCAAAAAAATGATAAAAAAACATTTTAGTTTTTTTTAGGTGTTTTTTCTCATACCGAACAGAACTTGCGACTTTAAAATGCATTTCTTGAGATGTACAGCTAATCTTGGGTTTGTCAGTATCATACCAATGTCGCCCGTTGGACTTTCCTCCCACATTAAGCTGACGTGCCTGATATATAAGTAAAAACCGTTCAAACCGCGTCAAACCCAACTCACTCCCTCACTCATATTGACGCCAAATGGGAAATGGTGAACAATTTAAAACTGTGAATATGAAGGTTTTTTAGACCAACCTCCCCGTGCTCGTGGGTTTCACCAAAGTGGTAAACGTCTGGGACCTGCATCACTTCGTGCTTTTCCCCCACAATAAGCTGACACGCCGTGATGTAACTGGAATATTGTTAATAGCATCGTTAAACCCAACTCACTCACTCACTCACTCAGAACAATCACCATATAATTCAGATTTTGCTGTCTTAAAGAATTTAGCGGTGTGGTTACATAGTTGGTACTTCAATGCAGAAGTTCGGGTTTGATCACATGATGGAATATTGCTGAACTAATATTTGCCTAAAGAACAATATCAGTCTTTTTAAGACTTTCAATAAAACGAGTTTCATCACATCATAAGAATCGTTCAAAGATGACAATATACAACGAATGGGTCGGAATATCATCAACATTGTAAATTTACCCATCCTCGACGATCAAGGGAATTATATATTTATTGTTATGACCCATTCGCCACCATTGCTTCGTTCCGGAAGTGACGTCACCACCCCATCTGTCCTATTCCTAACTGAGAATTTTCTTGTTCATGCGAGTAATTTGATTGGATGACAATATTCTCAGCGTTATGTCATTCGAGTCGGGCTCAAAACGAAGCTGTGGTAACGAATGGATCCAGGGCATTTATAATTAAAGAATGGAGGCATAATACCCTTGATAAATGAGGATGATAACAGAATGAAGATATAATACCCTGAAGGATGAACAATCTATATTAAAAATATCTCTTTCATATATTAAATAGGAAAAGTATGACGCGTTCCGAAGTGGATTATATTAAAATGTGTTTGTTCCTGATTTTTGTTCAATAGATATGTATGTTGTTGTGAATGAGGTCTGTCTGATAAGGTTTAGGAAGTGTTCATTTGGTACGACAGAGCGTGCATTCTGTCCAGATTGCCGGCGTGACACACATCGGAAACTTCCATCTGAAGAGGATGTACACAACGACCCTCCACTTACGTTCAAACCACTCCTTCACCAAGTTGCAAAGTTTATTATAATCGCCATTTCACAAACAGCCAAACTACAAGAGACTGTGGTGTTATGGTAATTTATGTGGTACACAGTCGTAAACAATGTTTATCGCAAACTTAACGGTATAATTTACAAAACAAACGTTGTAAGCTGACATTCACGCACAACAGCCATAACGGAGGAGGTGAACAGAACGGCGGGCCACGTGATGTGACGTCACAGGGCGAAGGTGTACACACACACTTGTTCACGATAGTTGAAGCATTGTGATGATATTGGCTATTTCATGGAGCGTTGGGATTATTGAAAATCGGTGATACTTTTGTGGAATAATGGATGTCTTAAGCGAAGACCAAGCATTACAGGCTGTTCTTGGTAAGTTATATTACTCTCAAGTAACTTTGATAAACTTTTTGCAAGCATCGCATGCCCTTACGTGGGCCACACCGTTGAAAACTTCGTAGTCCTTCGTCATGGCCAAGCACAAGAACCCGACATCGTCTTAACCTTGTTTTCGGGCGGAAATCATATGTCATAATAATTGTCACTGCCCCGTGAGCTTGTAAACATGGTAATGAATCACTGACATTGTCAGTTTCATGTGTGATCACTTTTTAAACGTGTGTAAGCATGTGATATGGAAAAGATGCTTCGTATTTCGGCGGGTTACGCCTCTCAAATCGTTGTTCTGTCAAATAATAGCGAAATATACACATGTGTATGACAGTCACTCAAAGTGATCCACACGGTGGCTGATGTATGGTGGTGTGGAATACAATTTGACATCGTGACACCTAGCTGTTTGACGGTCACCGACTTATTACTGTTAGGTGGGTATCCCCCAATCAGTCAATCACGCACCTGTTAAAGATGATTACCTGCTAATTAATCACTACCGCTAATTGCTTTGAGGAGTTGAAATTAAATTATATTGAGGGTGTATTTGTTTGTGTTTACTTTAAGCACGATTTTTTTTCTGAAAAAGATATTACATCAGCCATTAGTCTGGTTTCTGTTTAAATAATTCCTTTTTAAAATCCAAGGAGATACTATGATATTAGGATCCTTTTTCAATAATTTATTGTCATATGTTTGTCATATATTTAAAAAAACATTAAAACTATATTTCAATGTTTACCATGATAAAAGATTTTAATCCTTAGTGCTATCAAGTACACACAAAATGATTATATTAATATTTTGGCATGATCATAAGATATTTTGTTGCATTTTTTTTCTTGAGTGTTTTTAACATTTCTAGATGTGTAATAACAATATAAAGCAATAACATGCATCAGTGGCTCAATCGGAGAGTTAACCGTAACAATTTCCTTGAAATAACAGAGCTTGCCTTAATTGTTCATGAAAAAATCAGGTCAGGAACCAAACACTTGGTTTTATTTTTTTTACCTAGTTATTTAACATTCCCTTGAATATTTGTTGATTCTTACTTTCTGAAGTGAGACATTAGGCATGTGGTACAGGATGTGGTACCCAATACCTGAATGGCTTGATTGTTTTGGTGCTTTTGTTTCCTTTTAATTTTTTTTTCTTAAATTATGAGTTCAAGTTCTTAACCATTGTTAACATATGATTCAGCAGATTTTGTATGCAATGAAAATATTATTATCCACGTACAACAGATTGCAGGACTTGAGTTCTACAGCAATATGTTCAGGCAGATCTGTATTTCACAGCAAGGACAGAGTGATACTCTGATGATTAATACCTGAACAATGTAGACAATATATATCTGAACAGCAGCAACTTGCTCAAAATAACTAAAAAGGAAATTAAAAACAAATACTATAATAAATCGAAATGCGTTTTCAATTACTATTCATAGCCTATTGTTTTGTTCTATCACAAATATTGCACAGGTTGAATATTGTATAAGCAGGAAACTATATCATGTGTGTTTAAATTCTGATGAAAATCCAATTAATTAGAGCCTTGATATTTACAACATATATATCCTACAGAACACAAAACTGGAAATCAGCATGTTAGGCCTTACAACATAAATATCCTACAGAACACAAAACTGGAAACCAGAATGATAGGCCTTACAACAAAAATATCCTACAGAACACAAAACTGGAAACCAGCATGATAGGCCTTACAACATAAATATCCTACAGAACACAAAACTGGAAACCAGCATGTTAGGCCTTACAACAAAAATATCCTACAGAACACAAAACTGGAAACCAGCCTGATAGGCCTTACAACATAAATATCCTACAGAACACAAAACTGGAAACCAGCATGTTAGGCCTTACAACATAAATATCCCAAATTACACAATGAACTTGAAACCACATGTTATTCCTCATTCAGATATATTTGTCAACCTCATTTCAAGCACATAAAAAACATCAAAGTTGCGGAAAATCTCCAATGTAAATATTTCTGTAGGTGTTTACAAGATGAAAATGGAAGGCCATTGTCCACTGCGATCTCATAACTCACACTTGAGACTGACCAATAGGTTGGTTAGTTTCTATTGTCCAGGCTGTGGTCTCTAGATGGTATACGAGATAGTGGTTGTAGTTTAGGTAATTGAGTGGAGATACGATCTTAATCCATTAGGTACTTGCATAACCCAGGGACCTCCTAGATGTCACTGACCCTTAGCAGGCTTTGTAAGGAGGTTCAGGAATTTGTCTGTAAGACCAATTTGTTTTCTTGTTTCTTGATTTTCTTGCTTTAGGCAATTTCTTACCCGTAACCATCTTCAAATAAATGTTAAAGGAAAAACTTCTTTTTTTTAAATAATACTGATTTGAGTTATTGAGGTGAAGGTTAAAACAAAAATGCAAAAGAAATATTGAAAAACCTGGTAATATAAATAAACAAGATAAAAAACTCTGTGTTTCATCTTTGTTTGAGTGTATGAGTGTTTATCATGCCATTGATCTCTCTCACAGTGACTTTAACATATGTTAGTCTCACCAAGACAAATAGGTTGATAGCATGAGCAACCATGATGCTGCCTGGTACAATAACCACCCAATCGATCCTAATGTCAGTTTATAGGACAAGCACTGAATGAATGAATTGTTTATTATTGTTTCACAATGTTACTTAAGGTCGGGATCTAGGGCTGCGATGAGTCCAAATTTACTACCTGGGTACCCAAACCCCTAATACCCAGCCCAAGTATCGTTTTACACCAGCCTTCGCAATTACATTCGTCGACTTCATTTTTCACATTCAGTTCATAAATATATGCCATACAGCATATGAAAATACAGCTGTGTAGAGGTGGGTGTAACAATGAATGATTTTTTGTATTTTTTGTTGTTACATTTATCTTACAATATCTCCCCTGAACACCTATGGGTCCAAGTCGTCTTGTGGGTACCCAGTCCCTATTAAGGATCCACCCGACCCATTCTCCCATTTCAAAGAGGCACTCTTGTGCATGAAACATATATAAAATACATGATGATATTACATGTTACAGTCATTTTGTAAAATCAGTCAATGTGTAAAATATCTGAAATAAAAGACTAAAAGTTACTATGAAATTCTAAAGGCCTTAAAAATGTTACAATGGACTAATTATGCTAATATTTGAAGCCAAAACATACAACAAATTTACATTGACTTTCTTTTTCTTTTAATCCTATCATTTTCAGTCACTGGCTGATGACATAGAGCATAAAAATGTTTGGAATTTGTTATCATAATATAATAAATGGAAAATTAATTTCTAAAATGACAGAAATATTTTGGCATTTTGTAAATGCCAAAGTGAAAATTTCAGCCATTTTACTCATTGACTGGAACATAGTCTGGTTTGCATAATCATACACCAAAAGAGAAATACAACACCCACACACCCACACACCCACACACCCACACACCCACAGAGAGTAAGACACACACAGCATACAGTGCACTTACATATACAGGTACTGAGAATGGGGGCTATACTTAAACAAGCCTCAGCTATCTTTCTTAAGTCATGCTACATTCTGGGCCACAACGTGATAGTTAAAATAAAGTAAGATTATTTCTCATATAACTTAGATCTCATAAAAATATTGTCAGGTGAGCGGAATGAAATGGTAATCCAATATTGAAACACTTTAAACTTTCTTAATCATGTTTATTAACAAAATTAATGAACTGACTTCTCAAAACATTTTATGATCCACGTTTTTTAACCAAGTCATTACAAAAATCACCTAGGCAGAGTTGCCAAAGTGCGTTCTTAAACTGAACTAAGGCAAAGGTGAGCAGGTGGTTTGGTAGCCTAGTGGTTAAAGTGTTCGCTCGTCATGCCGAAAACCCGGGTTCGATTTCCCATATGGGTTCGATTTCCCATATGGGTACAATGTGTGAAGTCCATTTCTGGTGTCCCCCACCCGACTGTGATATTGCTGGAATACTGTTGAAAGTGTTGTAAAACAATATTCACTCACACACTGATATAGCCATGATTGATTTGATTAAAGCACCTTATTTGAAACTTACTGTAAATTTGAAAGTGAACATGTGTATTGCTTAATGTCACACAGCGAGGGTGTGAAGCCATGTTTTGCTAACTTCAGCAATAGGGCACATGAGAAATTGGCTACAGATATCTACTGTATGAGGAATTAAACCGTGATTTTTGATGTAACAACTTTAACAACTAGTCTACCCAGCCAGTCTTCAGGTACTTTGGGTGAAAGCTATAAGACTTTGTCGTTAACACAGAAAATGCACAATCATGTTGCAAGTTGTGATCTCACTGATAGCCCAGTGATATATTTGCACAACAAAAGACAAGCAGTGACAGCAGAACATATCTAGAAATGTTCCTTACATCGTGGGGCGGTCAGGTAGCCTTGTGGTTTAAGCGTTTGCTCGTCACGCCGAAGACCCAGGTTCGATTCCTGACATGGGTACAATGTGTGAAGCCCATTTCTGGTGTCCCCCGCTGTGATATTTCTGGAATATTGCTAAAAGTGGCGTAAAACCATACTCACTCACTCCTTACATCGTTTTGGGTCCGGACACTGAACAGAGGCTGCGTCACAGTGCATCAGATGTCAACAGCAAATCTCAGGTGCGCACATCCATACTTTGGGTGTCCTTTAGAATTAGATATAGTTTTGTACGTTTTTTAAGACATTGTGTTTGTTTGTTTGTTTGTTGTTTAATGCCGCACTCAGCAATATTCCAGCTATATGAAGGCGGTCTTTAAATAATCAAGTCTGGACCAGACAGTCCAGTCACTGATGTAGTGAGCATCAATCAACCCAACTGGGATATGATGACATGCATCAACCAAGTCAGTGAGCCTGACCACCCAATCCCGCTAGTCAGCTCTTACGACAAGCATAGTCGCCTTCTACGGAAAGCATGGGTTGCTGAAGACC